CTTCAATCGGCTGCCGATACGAGACCGCTTACATTCTCTTGACTTGACAAAGTCCATTTAGCATGCAGTTTTCCTTTCTGTTTAGCGTCCACGTGTGCGTGCGTGCGTGCGTGTGTGTGTGTGTGTGTGTGTGTGTGTGTGTGTGTGTGTAAATGGCACCGTGCCGTGCAGAACATTGCATCAACCCACACAAATCAAAAGTTTCATTCATGAAACTAAACAACCAAACACAAAAATAGACTTTTTCGTGTCTGGATGTCTCCCCAGCTTTCTTCTTGTCATATATTATATTATCTTTTTTTTTTTTTTTTTTAATTTCCATCCATCACGAATCCACATGCAATTATATTTACCGGCACATCTGAACTGATATGTCTGAAATGAAATGACGCTCTGCCACAATATTTTTACTCTCCCCTCAAAATAACCCAAACGACATCTGTTCATTTTTAAACGGCGCGCAACAAAAGTGAGTAAACCCCCCTCCACTTCCACGCACGTTTTTCCCCGTCATTTTTTTTTTTTTTTTTGCCAGCAAGTTAATATGGTAAGTGCCGAGATTTGTAAACCCCAAGCCCGATACAATTTCACATCATCCACAAAGGGAGGAATGAATTCCGAACAATCAATCGCGACCCTGCATCATGTATCTAATTTTCTCGCAAAAATTTGAAAATGATCAGTCTCCGAGGTATTTCCGCAAGGTTCCGTGCCTGATGGAAACACCGCCTGACACCTGCAAACTCGTCACATTCATATTCCACTCAAACGCGTGTTGCTTTATTCATCAGGCCCGTGCCCCGCAATGGTGAAGACGCGCTTCAAGGAGAGACGCCCCGTGGCGCTCGGATATGATAAGAGGGGACGGGGCGAGATGCTGCAGTGTCCTCCAGCTGCCCCCCCACTATCCCTTGTTCTTCTGCCGCAGTCGACGCCGCTGTACTTTTGTTTATCCGGGCCCCGCCCCCGTCTCCTCCGCTCCCCTGCCCCCCCGCCCATTTTCCTTCCGTGAACGTTTCCTTCCCTGACGCGTTAAAACACTCGGGTGGCTTAGCTTGGATGCGTTCGCAGCTGACTCGGAGGAGTGCGGTATCAACATGTGTCAACACTTAACAGGACTCGAGCATGGCGACAGAAAATGAAAACACACACACACACACACACAAACACACACACACACACACACACACACACACACACACACACACACACACACACACACACACGAGCTCACACACACACCGCCCACCACTCAGGCGATGTTGACTCTTCGTGCCGCTCCCGCTTGACCCTCCATTTTGCTCATCATTAGCAACACGCATCCAAGCATCCATCTTGCCTTTGTAACCTGCCCCCGTTTGGAATGTACTTGGGATATGATAAAATAGAATTTTCTACGATGGCTCAGTCCTAATGTCTAAGGAGTAATTGAATTTTTTTTTTTTTTTTTTTTAAATGATCAATCGATGCCTTTTAACTCGTTAAAAGTAAGGCTAGCAAGATTAGCGGGCTAGTCGTGATTACATTGGAGATTAAAATGGTTCCAATAAATTGAACAACCAACAGTATTTTGAAGCTTCGTTTTGCTTCTCCAAACGGGGTCGGTGCCTTCCGCCGCCTTGTCGACCTTTCTCTACTTGGCGCGGGGAAGCTATCATGGCTAACTAGCATTTTTTTAAATTACAGTTCCTTTTGGTGTCTTTTAGTTATAATCAGCCACAAAAAAATTACTCAAAATATTACGATCATAAAATGTTATGAATATATATTATAATTTATAAATGATAAATTGTTCCTTTGAGAGACTCAGTTTTACAATATGGATGATGAAACAAAAATGTAGCGTGGCTGGACTCATTTTTGCAACATTAAACGTGTCAGAAAAATAATTTTTTTTTTGTGTGTCGACACAATCAAACGGTCCGCGTCCGAGAAGCGAACCCAAACGCTTGAAACGCCGATCGCTAATTTGCTCGCGCCCATCACCTAGCGCCTCTAAATGTCTCTTCTGTTTCCGAGACGGGGGAGGATGACGAAGGAAGGGCTGAAATTGCATCCTGTGATGCTGACAGATCAGGATGGACAGCTGAACAAACGAGATTCAAATCAGCGCCCCCCCCCCGTCGGCCCTCTATAAACCAGCCGGACCGTCTTTAATATTCTGAACTGGATGTCACTTTTCACGGGAGGTGGGCCGGCGGAGGCGGGCATCCGGTTATGATCATACATTAATAAACTCGAAAATGCTTTTCAAGGCGTCCAATTGAAGGTTACAGGCGGAGGCGGGTTGCTGCGGGGGGCGTTGGCTATCTTGTGTTTTGGAACGCGTCGAGACGGTTGCGATGAGTTGAATAAACAACGGTGACAGGTCGGAGGTTGTATGTGAGCAGCGGGGCCTTGCCGCTAATTAACGGTCAACAACAATGTGCCGCTGGACACCGTCGGCGTTCCTGCGGGAGATGACACCTGGGGAAAATGGAGCAAGTGTATTCTTGGCAAATTGGGAGGAGTTGAAGGCACCCGCTGGGGGAATAACAAACACACACACAAACACACACACACAAAAAAATAAAAAAATGGTTTTGCTGTTTGTGTAACTGTATTGGACAAGCTGTCAATGCGAGCTAAAGTGATTTAGCATAGTGGGAGCTTTTTTTTTTTTTTTTTGTTTTTTTTTTGTCCCA